GAAGTTAGAAAAAAAACCACCCCACCTTATTTTTTTATGTTTAATGCAGTGAGAGATTAGTTTGCCTCCTCACCTCCTCCCAAGTTGCTTTTCCAAGTAGACTTGTGCTTTAAACTGCACCCATTTTGCTCAGCTTAGCACGTTAAAAGTAAGCAGAGTAAGAAGTAGTTTTAATAATATGAGAATCAGGGTTTTGAAAACAATTAACTATGAAGCCAGCACTCATGGCTGAAATTTTAGCCATCTCTGCAATACAGTAAAATACCCTAAAGCATTTCACCTACCTAGTAACTGAAACGCATCCAACTCCCAGTATTTAACCTAACTGGTTACAACCAGGATTAAAATAGGTTCACTCCTGGAATTTCTATCTTGTCAGTCACCAGAGATATTTTTCAGCGTAACAGCTTTCATCAGCAGAGGATCAGAAATCCCCTTTGCAGCTCATTTTATTTACAAAGACACTTCAAAGCTTGTCATAGAACAGAAAGACTTTTTTCCAATGGACAAATTTTCAGAAATACCAAGCTGAGGAAGAAGGGAACAGTTTTGGTTTTGAACTGCAAACACAGGTTTGCTTGTAAATATTTTTACTGTTATACAAACTGAACATGTGTTTTAGGGATGAGGACCTGTGCCTGTGTGAGATTTCTACTGATAGTAATCTATGGCCCTGATCCTGCTTCTTAGAGTTAGTAGGAATTTTATCATCTACTTCCATGGAAGAGGTCCTATGAGTGCCAGCATTGTTAGAAATACACATAGCGTATCAGATACAGTGCGGGAAAGAAGAGAATTTGAGTCTCTTCCAGAATAAGTTACATAATTTTATAATTTACAACTTTATCAATCTTAGACATGTGAATAGCACCAATCACCAACAGTATGATCACTAAGGCACTGGACTGGTACTCAGCTGTCCTGGGGTCTATCTTCATACCTGTGGTCAATTTCCTGTGTAATCACGTTTCTATCTTCTGTTTCTCCTGGTACATAATTTTTGACATTGGAAAACAGGCTATAATACAAAACATCCTACATCATTTACAGGAACATTGTGCCATGACTAATTACAAGGTGCTCAGATTCTAAAGTGATGAACATTAGTATTTCTGTGCATAGATTTACTGGTAAAAGAAAATCACCCTGCAGGTATCAATTATGTGCAACACACTGGAACAGAATTAGCTTCAGTTCCTCGCGAGTTAATGACATACTCTAAGTTAAATCTTATCCTCGATGCCATGATTCAAAACAGTTTTTAGATCAATGAAGATAAGCCCTCAGGGCTTCTGTCTCTGACTGATCCAGCATGCCTTCATATGCTTTTGCACCAAAGTCTGCTCCTGACAACTTACAGAGCTCCAGTTTCAGCCTCCAAGAGGGCAGTTTTTGATGCTTTCAGAAGCAACTGAATCTTTTTTTTAGTCTGTAGTGAGTTTACCTTTCGACATTATTAAAAAAAAAAAAACCACCCTTCAGGAGTTCTCACTATTTTGCTGCATCACACTGGCTGCTGAATCTGTGTACTGATGTACAAATCACTAAAAGCTCTTGGGTTGAAATAAGTTACTGCAAATGCACAGTAGCTGATTTTGAAACCACAACATCTCTACGATTTATTATTATTTTTACAAAATACCCAAAGTGATCAGACCATATTGTAGGTTACTGGCTTGCCAAAGGTTATGTTTTAAAATCAAACCATTTCTGAGTTACAGAAGTGCCAAAACCAATCTTGAACCAGGTTTGTTTGTTGTTTTTGTTGTGTTTTTTTTTTTTTAAAGCAACCCCCATCCAACAAAACAGTTGTATAACTTAAAACAGAAACAAGAGTTTGTGTTGGAAACTGTTTAAAAACCAACCCACCAAATCATGCTTAAGCAGAAGCCTTGTATGGCAAAGATTTAGCTTAGGGCAATTTAGTGCCAAGATATAGACCCTCTATGGGTTTATAATGGAAATACTGACACAACCTCAACTATAGTGATGCAAATGTGCCCTAAAACACTGTATTTGCTTTTATTAATAAAAGTGGTAGTGTTTACATTTGCAAGTATCTTACACTTCAGCATCACGATGAATACTGAGTAGAATGAGTTAAGTTTTTGGCTGTAAGGTCAGAAGTTTCCAAACAGATGAAAGAGACAGAAGTGAAAGTCCTCATCATGAAAACAAGAAGTTCAAATAAATAAATAAAACAAAACGAGGAAATATGGGTAAGCATTAGGTTGGAATGGTTCAATTAACTGCAAATTATGGCCACTAAATTAGAGACAGAAGAAAACACAGTTACTTATTAAATAGCAAGCATTAAAGCTTTATGTTTTTGTATTTTTTAAAAAAAGAAAGCTGTTAAAAATAAGACTTGCATTTATCAGGCCACCAAACTGCATGGACTAATAGAGAGACTAACAAAGGCAATACTGAGACATTAAGACACACACACACACACTCCGTACTTGTGCAACTCAACCATATTCAAAGCAATCGCCTTTTTCCTCACTTAAGAAAAAAAAAAAGCATCCCCTAAAACATTTCTCTTGGTATAAAACTTTAGGTTTCTTAATCTGTTCCTGTCTTATATAGTTCATTGTTATTATGCATCCTTCTCATTATCCGAGGAAGAAGCTTACATTATTTTTTTTTAATGGAGGTGCTTTGTTTCTCTCAGATGAGAGATTACATTCCTTACACTAGTACAGGTTTTCCCCCTTTACAAATTTGGTGTTTACACCAACTCCTCCTAGGCTTCAAAAAATAAGGGTTGGCACTAAATTAAAGATTTTGGCTCCTGTAACTAAAATTAAGGCTCACAATGAATTTCCTTTCCACTATGTGTGTCTCATTTTTACCTAGTGGAAACACCAGCCCTTAACCTACAGGCACTGGATACATTCCTAAATCGTAAGGGGCTATTTTCCATCACGTTCTCCCTACAGTTCTACAAAGTTCAGGGGGCAGCTTTCTGAACCTGTGAACAGGAAACATCATTTTTCAAAGACGAGTAGCAACCGCAGCTAAAATTTTTTAGGCCATTTAGCATCTTCTGAAAGATCACTAGTAATTTTTAATTAAGAGAGATGGGGCAGTAACTCCATCAAGTCCCTGCTCTTCACATGAAAATGGACCAGGCGATTAATTTTCATTTAAAAGTTTAGCCACAAAAGCAATGAAAATTCACAATTCTGAACAGTTGCAGTTCTTAGTATTAAAAAGGCATCTGATACCTGAAGCAAATCTAGCTGCACAGACATCACTGACCACACCCTAACTTTAATTTAAACTGGATCTCTTCCCAAAAAAGAAAGCTAACACAGTCTCTTGGGTGGAGGGAAGCTAGTGTGAAAGACAAAGAGGCAAGTATTTTGGTGTTTTGTTTTGTTTCTTTTGTTTTGCTTTTAAATTCACTGAAGTAAGATCCAGATCAGTTTAGGGGTGTAAATGAAGGGGGAACAGGGGCGTTTGAGTAATATAGGCTAACACTGTTCTAGATGTGTTATTACAGCTGTAATTTCTGACTCTGTACAAATTGTACACGTAGGTTTAGACACATGAAAAAGTAACACACTCACAGAGACATAAAACACCTAGGTATAAAATATAAAGCAGTGTAGTAGTTACTAAAATTACATGCTCTCTTATTGCTACAGTGATTTTTGCTCTTTTTCTTTTTACTGTACCACATGTTGTTCTAAGCATATAATTTGCATAAATTATTCAAGTTTAAGAAAAATCCACACATCTTCACTTTAAGCTACTTATATAGTTAATATAAAACAAAAAGGTTCTAAAGTATCTCTTTATTAAAAGAGAAATAAAAATGTCATTTGAAACTGGAATTCAGTGGCCAAATCCAAGGGCAGTGCACACCTTGTCATTCCGGTAGTAGTATGCCCACGCGGCGTAAGTGGAGGGTGGTGGGGTATTTGGCCCAGTCTAGAGATGGTCACCAGACCTGCATGATGCCCTATGTGTCTGTTATTGTTCTGGTTTTGTCTTTAGCAAAACGGACTATGAATGACCAAAGACTAACATTTATAATTTGTAGCAAAATTTGGTTTATGTAGAAACAAGCCATGTTTTGCATTTGGATAGAGATTTAAATGAATTAAAGCTAAAAATTAAAAAGCATGATGCTGCAACATCTGGTCACTTGTTGAAGACCTCACTTTTGAAGTGGTTAAGTTTGCACAATTTGTACTTTTTTCTTTTTTTTTTCCTTTTTTTCTTTTTTTTTTTTTTTTACTAAACAGTATTTTTCCTTCTTTTATAAACCAGAAAAACTAAACTACAGATAAATTTTCCCTACCTTGAGCTAATGCTGCAGATAGGGTTGACAAAGCTGTACAGCGCAATCAAACATACTTACATCTTAGCTCATTGTACAGGTACAGCCATAATCAAGGCACAAAGATCTTCTACAAGTTATTTTTTTTCAATAAAGTTGTACAAAATAATACATTTTACAGTCTGTACAAGAATAATAATCCAGCAGTAAAATAAAAAATGAGGGGAGGGAAGAAGAAAAAGAAGGGAAAGACTGTGAGGACTATAGTCCAGATAATGATTTTTATAGCAGACGGGATCATCAGTGGACAAACTGAAAACAGTGTGTGGTTAACTCTTTCTGCAATCACAGGCCATACGCAGTTCAATTCATAAATGTCCATGGTTGTCTTTAGACCACCAAGACTGGTTTTAAAAATACCCTTCTGAAAGGTAGCAGTTGGTTTTTGCACTGTCTAGGTCTGTTGTAGAATTGTCAGTATTTCCGTTCAAAGCCACATTACAGTCAGAGAACCAAACTCAAGTGTCTGTCTTCAAACTTGGTCTGTGACTTGGCACCTTCTTTAGTCTGATGCAGTGAATGATACAGAGTGGAGATCACGGGTTATATGAGTACGCCCACAACAGTGCTAAATTACCTAAAGTTTTCTCTCCCCAATTTTTGTTTTATGTTTTATCCCAAATTCTTTCAGGTGCTCCACATTCAGGGCTTTTAATTAATTAGTTTTTATTTCCTTTTTTTTTTGTTTGTTTGTTTGTCTTTTTTTTTGTTAATAACAGTGTTAGGGAATCCTCAAGGAAACGGCCTTTTAAGTGTTAGGGGCCATCTCAAACTGTCCGAGGGGTAAAGAAGCAAGCTTAGAAGTGCTGCTATTGTCCAGCAAGGAGAAAAAGTTGAGGGGTGCAAATCAATGGGAGATTCAAACAGTTCTCTTCCACCCTATGTGGGCAAGGGTGTTTTTTTTTTCTTGTTTTAATAAGGAATAAGGAGTCCGAAACACAGAAAAAAGTGCTCTCCATCACAACAACTCGTATTGGCGAAGGTGCATGCGCTGAATAATGTCCCGACAGTCATTGAAAACCCTCCGGATGTTCTCTGTATCCACTGCACATGTGAAGTGAGGATAGCAATAGTGCCTTCCATCTCCACTTGCTGTGCTGATTCTCTGTTAAAAGTAAGAGAGATACACTGGGTTAAAATAAAACCGACTGGGGAAAAAAAAAAATCATGTTCTCAAAACTCAGATGAATGAAGGTTAAGATACCTATGTGTGAGTTGTATTTTCAAAGGGCGTAACTAAGTGGCAAAATGCCCACAATTTTTCGCTCTCTCACCTAAAACATGAAATTTAAAATTATCAAAATTATACGGTGAGAAGGTCACTGCATACTGGGAAATTTCAGAGTTGAATGAGAACTTGAGAAAGTGCTATTATTTATATGCAGCTTTGATGCGTTTAGCCACACAACTCCTAGTCAATTTGTCCATGAAGAGAGTGGGATTTTGCCTCCTTGAACAAGGCTTTTATCCCTGCTTTACACTCACAGAAAGCCTCCCTCAAAATTTTGTTTTGCTCCATTTTAAAATGAGTCCACAATTTGACTGCCATGCTCGCCACTACGAGTAACTGTAATAATATTTAAAAACCTCTAGGTCTATTATAGCTTCAGCTGACCAGTAATGGGAAAGATAATAGGAAAAGAACATTAATATTTTACAGATTATGCATCTTTTGATGAGTCTTTATCCGTAGAAATGATGCATGGAATAAAAACCTGGCCCCATTAATAACAGCAAGACTTCACTCAGCATTCTATTTGAGGTTTCCTAATTCTCATAAATTACATTACGTATTGTGTTAGCAGACATAGGGAAGAAATTCTTCACTCTGAGTGTGCTGAGGCACTGGAACTGGCTGCCCAGAGAACCTGCCCCATCCCTGGAAGTGTTCAAGGCCAGGTTGGACGAGGCTTTGAGCAACTTGATCTAGTGGAAGGTGTCCCTGCCCATGGCAGGGGGGTTGGAACTTGATGATCTTTCAGGTCCCTTCCAATCTGAACCATTTGGTGATTCTATGAAACAAATATCTGAAGAGCAGCTAACAAAAAGCATTACAGCTCTTAAACATAACTGTTTTATGTGGGGTAGATGCTAAATATAAACAACATAAGAAGTGACAGCATTTTGCCATAGTAGAAGGTGCGTAAGAGCCAACATAAGAAGTGACAGCATTTTGCCATAGTAGAAGGTGCGTAAGAGCCTTTTTTTGATTTGAGAAGAATCACATAAGAAATATTGAAGGAGAAATACTTACAAGAAACTCGTCTCTAATAAAATACTTGGCCCTTGTAACTCTGGGATCCTCACCAGGCTCTGGTGTTGCTGATTAATAATAAAATAAGTATCTCATTAAAACAGACCTTTTTTGGCAATAGCACCTAAAAATCATGGCTTGTTCTGTTTTCTGTTCACATATCATAGAAAAATACTTTGCAAAACTGAGTACGAGATAAGACAAACCATAACATATTTAAAACAGTAAGGAATATGACAGTGGCCAGTGTCAGACATTTGGCAGATTGGAGAAATGACCACAGATATGACTAGAGGCAGTCCAGAGGACATCGTTCTGACTACTGAGTGTCACGCTACAATTACTTGGGAATAGTCTAGCGAGGTTACGGATGAACTACTAGGATAATTGGATATATTCATTATATTTACTACCAGTCCATTCATTGATAAATGTATATATTTGCACAGTTCTGTGAGGAGGACGCTTCATTATAGACTTTCTATTTTAGAAAAGGATCAACTTTTGGCAACTAGATGTGACAAAAGGATCAGAACAGGCAAACTATAGACATTTATCAACAGAACTGACTTTGACTCTCATGAACGATTACTGCTGCATCTCTGCAGTAGTATTGGTACAAGCTGTACTGTGTTCTACACCAGCAAAGTAACAGGATTTTGGCATGATGAAATTATTATCTCATTATTAATATCTGAAGTTTAACATTACAGTTTGGCTGAAAGACAATGAAGATTACATCTACTTAAGATTCTTCAAGTCTTAGCTGAAATTACCAAAAACATTACAGATGTGATTTAACAAGGAAATGATAAATTGCTAATAAAACCTTAAAATCTTACCATCATCTGGTGTAGTGTAGCGAGCAAATTCTGGAAAGTAGTCTTCAATTTTAGATTTCCCTGCCAAAACTTTCTCTGCTAGCAAATCTTGTTTATTCAGGAAAAGAATTACCGAAATGGTCCGTAGCCACCTGCAGAAAATCGAAGCCAAACACTCTGAGAAGGCATAGCTAGGATCACACAGCAAAAAATAAACATAATCCAGTTCTGGAGAAACAGTCGTATGATACTCTGTAATCATTTTGAAAGGTTCCTTTAATACCTTAATCCAGTGGTGTAAGTTCAGGTACACACACCCCGAGTTCAGTTTGCGAATAAAAGCAAGAAAATTCGGGAGTCAAGATAAAAAAATTATATATAAATATTAATTGTTTGATAAGTGAAGGATAAGTGGAAGAGAGAAGAAAACGAAACAAAACAAGTGATGCAAAGACAATCACTCACCACCTCCTGTGAGCAGACCAACACACAGCAGGATGGCTAACCCTCCTAAATCCCTCAGTTTTCCCTGGCATGGACTACCTCTCTGGTTAGTTTGGGTCATCTGCCCGCTTGTGTCCCCTCCCAACCTATTGTGCACCCCATTCTATTCACTGGGAGGGCAGAGTGAGAAACAGAGAAGGCTTTGATGCTCTGCAAACACTACAGCAACAGCTACAACATCACTGTGTTATCAGAATTGTTTCAGTCAAAGTCTAAAATGGCACCGTACGAGCTGCTACGAAGAAAATTAACTCTATCCCAGCCAGGCCTAGTACAGAAGTCTTGACTATAGTAGAAGATAGGATTACTAATTTATGTGATACGAACAATGAAACTTCCAATTCACAGACCTGTTGTTCCAGATACTCTTGAAGAGGTTTAGTGCTTCTTGAAGCCGATTGGTCTGATTGTCCTCTCGTATAACCATGTTGTAGCTACTGCTCGCCACCACAAATATGATAGCAGTCACATCTAAATCAAGAAACACCCATCAGTTATTACCAAACTCCAGTAGAAATATCCAGGAATCTCAAAGTTCAATAAAAAGCCGCCATACTTTTCAGCTTCATGAACAGAAAGGCTGGAATGCTATTGCTGACAGCCTTCTAAGTACCAGAAATAAAAAAAGAAAGTGAAGAAACCATGAAAGATAGGAAAGGCAGGCCACAGAACAGAAGCTGACAGAATGACAGAAAACATAGAAAAGAAAGAAACAGAAGTGAACAACCAAAAAAAGGAAAGAGGAGAATTTAAAGATTTAAAAGGCATAAAGAAATTTAGAAAGCAGCTCTGAGCTATCAAGAAAGGACTGAGAGGCCCTTGGGGGAAGACCTCAGGACAAACAGCACTTTTGATCTGCGTGAATAGTAATAAAAACAGTAGATTGCTGTGAATTCACGGTTAATTGCTCTAATCCTCTTGTAGTGTCCCATCCTGCTCAGGGCCCCTATCTCTTTCCTGGGAGATATTCCCAGGATCACAGAATCCAGATGTCTGTGTTTCTGTGTGGCTGTGCTGCTCCAGACCCCTTACACTGACTACCATGCTCATCCACCGCAGACATCAACGGCAGAAGAGTTGAGTCAGATCAGGAGGTGAGAGGAAGAGGAAGGAGCAGAGGTAAACCCCAAACAAATCTGTTATTAATATCACAGAAGAAAACACTGCATGGTATTTCCAAACATATATAAAGCGTTCAGGTGATACTCTGTGACAGTGACTGTAGCAAAATACATTGAATTCTAATTTGCATTCTACTCTATCTATCCTGTAGGATCTCATTATATCTTTTCTAGAAAAAGATAGGCTTTTGCATAACTTCATAAATATTTTGTCCAAACAAGAAAGAAAACAAAAATATTTTCACCAACTCCAGCTTTAAGTAAACCGGTGTGGAGAAAGGTTTCACAACTAAACAGAGATACAGAATAAAACAACAGCTGTAGTGAAAGTACATCAACAGTTCAGGATACACACAAGACCACCTAATTTAAATTGTTATAGGAGTCAAGAACATCATCACGTGAACTAAACTGATGGAGACATCAGCATTAAGACTGCAGATCTTACAAAATGCCCCCAGACATTTCAGGTCTTACCCACATCTAGGCTGGCGCTGTGTTAGCATTCTAAGGAATCTAGCTTACATGCAGGCGACTTAAATGAGGGTATTTGTTCATATGTTTTCAGTAAGGGCCTTCCCCTTAGGGCTGTTTTTCAAAAAATTACATTAATATGCATGGATCACTAGAAAAGTGCAGATTTATAAACTCCATCATAAACTTTTTGACAAAGGCATTTTGAGGCTACACTAGACAATGCTGTACTATATTACACACCGTATGTGACAGCACTTCTAACAAGACAGATGTTCCCTGCAATCTCATACTGCACTAATGGGTCCATGCTGATATGGAAAGAGGCACCCATGACATAGCAATGAGGCTGCAATTATGCACAAAACCATGATATTCTGATTTTATGCATATAGTAATTATCCTGTAATTGTATATTTTGTATAGGCACAAACATATGTAAGCCTTCACTTGGAAGACAGAATATAGCTTGGAACACTCACATAGCTGGCGAATAATGCACAAACCCACCACCAAAAAAAATTAATTAAATGAAGAGAGGGGAGCAAAAGAAAATGGACAAGCTATGTTAAGATATCAGACTTGAATTCGTCTCCACCTGCATCCTCCCTAAAGGTATCCTATGCAGTTATAGAAGTTTACATGTCATATGACTTCAGATAATTCCTTATCAAGCTGCATGGAAAAGAAGATGGTTTTCACACAGTGAGAGAAAATTAAGACTGGGCATTAAAATTTTGCAGAGAACTATTTTATAAAAAAAACCAAATTCTCATCGTACCATTAAAACACTGGATCCATTTTCGGCGTTCATCTCGTTGCCCTCCAACATCAAACATACTACAAAAAAAACATAAATCAAGTCAGAACATATTTTGTATTGAAGTTCGTTTGTTTTTTACCCCCTCAAATGCAAACAGAAAATGTAAGAAATTTTAGGACTTCCATGTCATAGAAGCTAAAAGGAATTGAGGATTATGAGAACCAGAACTGGTAACAGTCCATCGACATATGCACGCAGAACTTTCATCACAAAATATAATTATATTTACTTTCACTAACACCTACACTTGAAGGTAAGAAATTCTGGTGTATGTACATTGCAGATTCACTTTCACCATTACAACCCAGACATTAAAAAAGGTCCTACAACAATTAAAAAAGGTCCTACGACAAGTCATTTGCTGAAACAAGTATTGCAGATCTAAACTGAACAAGATCAGACTAAAACTCAGTAGTTTTTGTTCAGGTCAAGCAATCTTTCTAACCTGGGACAGTAAAGAAAACATACATCTTCTGTTACTTAGGTATGTACAAAGGTTTTGGTCAAATATTTCACTATATAAACTAGCAACGAATCAAATACTCAGAAAAGGCATTAGTAAAAATAGATTTAAAACATTTTGTTCCTTGCAGTTTAAAATAAAAGCAGAAAATTGCACATGATATTGCATTTGTTTTTAAAGCTAGGCTACTAAATAAAAAAAAAAATCATTAAATTATTTCAACTAAACATCAGCTTGAGAAATACAGTACTCTCTCAATGACTATATGGTAGACTATCCTCTGATTTTTCATGGTATTTGTCTGCATTTTATTAAAAAAGAAAAATACTTACTGAAAATTTACTTTATCCACTTGAAACTTGGTTTCAAAAATTCCTGATGTCAAAACTCTGCATCTGAGAAGATCCTAGAGCATAAAGGAAAAGTCATTGATTCAACACAGATACTTCACAATTCTTCATACATCCAGCAACACAAATAAAAGCCTTTTACCCAGTGCCAAGTGGGCGCTGTACTGCAAAAACAGGGAACCAAGCATTATGAGGCTGGATTTAAGGTTTTGATCTTGAACACGTGTGCAAACGTAAGAGTGTGCTCAGTACATAAATTTTCACAAGCAGGTTGTAAGCACCAAGCTCGGAATAGCAGGAAACTTTTACAGGCCACTTAAAGTACAGGGAAGCGTTCAGGACAGCACAGCGCAGCCCCATCCCTAGAGATTAGATGATGCATTCACAGATTTCAGTGGGATTGTGGCACTCAACAGGATCTTTAAACTATCACCAAATAATCCCCAATCCCAGGATATAGATCTCTCCCCCAATAGTTCAGTGCTTGGCTATTACAAAAAGCATCTAGGTCTCAGAATTTTCCATTTTTTCCTTCAAAGGACTAGGAACTCCACCACTTAAGTCTTATAAGAATTGGGCTTTTCAAAGATAAAATTTGAAATTTCCTGTAGAGACAAAAGTGGTAAGCAGAAGTTGTGAGCTACAAACAATTGAAGTTGTTGTAAGCGCTACAAAATCCTACTAAACCCAAATTGTGTTGGCTTTTATTTACTGTGCATTGCAAAGCAGTAACTGCCATACACAGTGCCTAGTGGGTAACTGATCTAGAACAACTCAATTTGCACAGGCTGCAGACCGAGTGCACAGTCCAAATATAACTAACTACAAAATACCACCTCGAACTCAACTCGAGGTTTTATCATTTAGTATTTAAAGTGTTAATGTTCTTCACAACATGTCTAAATATCAGATAAATAGTAACATTTGCAGCAGACAAGATCATGTAAGCAGAACAGATTGTAAAAAAAAAAAAAAAATTATACGCACAATAAAAGCTCTGTTCTTACTACATCGGTACCAAACTGGTTAGTCAAAGTCAAAACCACACGAAATCCAAAGGTTAGACAACACTGTTAAATCATTAAACAAAATGGCTACACTTTAACATCAGTTTTCTGATAGTAAATTATTGTTGTCTGGCCATTTTAATACTCATATTGAAATATGTGTATATTTAAACATTGTTCTAACTTTTGTTGGAAACAGTTTGAAAATTTGAATGCCCCAATAAACAGAAACAAACTTGGAAAACTGTACTCTCTGGAGATCTGCATCTCTAGAAATCAATACAAGTATGATGCTAAAAACACCCAAACCAAATAAAACCAAAACCAACACCACCTCTCATCCATCTCGAAGAAAAAAAAAAGTGATTTGATTTTTACACTCAGGAGTTCTTTTAGGAGAAACATGTAACATCACAGAGGATAATGCAAATGGGCCTGTTTTACAGTGTACTTGTGGGGAGTGTCAGTGCTCCCAAAAAAGCACCGTAAGTACTTGTACTTGCTGTTACTTACAGAAGTATGTAATTATTTTACTTAAGTTACTAAATAAATGCTTACTTAAATAATTACTATAAGTAAATTTTATGCACTCAGTAGTATATTCTAAGTAAATACACCATTTGCCTCCAATATAAAACTGATACTTGTTTTAAAGTTTCATATCTGAAGATTAGTTACTCCAAATTTCAAATATAATAACCTATTTTTAATATTTTGTTTCTTGACAATAGAATTATTTCAGTGACAAGAAATCTTCAGATTTTAAAAAGGATGAATGATGAATTTATTTGTGAACAGCTTTACAGGATACAAACTGCTCTCTCATCAATACTGTCTGCAAAAGTTTCCAGACATTAGTATGTTTTTTGGTTATTTATCCTATAGAAGTATACTAGATGCTGAATCGTATTATTTATGGGCAGAAAGTTAGGAACACACAGTGATTTCTGGATTAGGGATTCGGCCCTAAAAAGATCCTCAGATTATTTGTAACAAAATGAAAACTACGATTCCTATTCTGATTAAAAATTAAAATTGTCTAACAAGGTTATTTTTACAAAATCTAGTTTACAGTGGGAGCCAGTGAGGCTGAGAAGATACCAACCAACTTTACATCAAAGAAAGAGCATGACTGTTATTCAGCAAGGAGGGCAAAATATTGTAAAATGCTCATTCAAACAGGTATTTGAGTTTTAGTGTCACAGAAGCAGGCTGTAAATCTTGAATCCAGGCAGACTTTAATTTCATAAACATAATCTCAATCCAAATGACAAAGTAATTGTTACTGGAATACTAAATACGTACAACACATGGTAATAACTGCATTAGTGTCACAAATGGCAATTAGGAAATTAATGAGATAGTTATCCTCAAAGACTGAGGGGGCAGGTAAGCTGTGTAATTTCTTCATGAAACTTTCCTTACCTGGTCAGACGGCGTATACTCATTTTGTTTGACTATGTCAATCTTGTCTAGAAAACTGAGGAGAAGAAAGAAAAAGATTAACTTTTTGTTCTCAAATTAGACAAACTATCTAACGCTTTAGTAACTGACACGTTCCCAGATAAGATGAGTTATATTTCAACGCATTCAGACTCACAAAATGCTGCATACATTTGAATTGCTCTATATACGTGCGCTATTTAGAACATGCATTTCCCAGCACCACCCAGCAGAGGGCCAAACCCACAGCTTTATTAATCGGGTCTGGTAATCTCATTCTAACCCCTTCCCACTCTGCTCTTTCTGTTAACAAACATACAAGTAGTTTAATTTAGGTAAATTATTCACATAAACTGTACAATATAATCTGCTACTGCTAACAGTAAAGCAACGACTCAAATAAATTGCCTATATGTAATTTTCCTGAAAGTAAGATGAATATTTGAAAAAAAAAATTATTATCACTATAATTCTTTTAATAAACGAAATACCTAAACCAATTTCATCGCAATCTCGGTTAAGTGAGAGTGAATATTGATTTTTCTGTCAATTGTTGGTACCAGTTTTTCAGTTAACTTTCTGGAGAAGTAGCTGTGGGAAGCCAAATAGGTATAAAAAGATTTATTTCATTCAAATTCATAAGGCATTATCTAAGGAGGATATCCTGGAGTCTTGAAAATCTTTTTACCAATTATCTTTAACCTCCTAATTATCTTTCACTTAAAAAGCTGATTTGTTAGCTCTGTTTTATTGTGGCGTTACTATGAGACTTGAAGCCGTAGCAAACCAGCAGCTTCAGGATGCAGATTTCACCCTATTTGCACCCCCTGTCAAGTTGTCCAACACCACGTATGCAGCAGGGTGAGCTGTGCTCACACCCCTTCCACGCGGTATGATTAGCACATCTAGCAAAGCTTCTACAACTAACTTCACCCATAACATTAAAGATTAATCACGGTCTTAAAACCGATATACTTTTAATTTTCCTCGCATGAATTCTTTTCTTTACGAAGCAAAAATCACAAAGAAAAGGTGATTTTTCTCTTCTGATGCCTACACATAAGTAGGCAAGTGGAAAGTGCATTGACTACGGTCGCAGGCAACAACTTAAAGGGGAGGCAAAGTTATGACATGTCCCAGATTCACAAATCAGAAACCAAACCCCATCAAAATCAGCAAGGGTCTTAGCTCTCAGTTTCAGCCCCTGCTCCCAACTTTCTAAAACACCTAACGAAGAACAGGGGAAGGAGGAAAAAATCATTGTATGTTTTAACAGCGGCTCCAGTGTAAAGCCCTTTTCACCAGGAACTAGATGACCATCTTGTTTCGGAGGCAAACGAAAAGTAATTTTTGTACAGAATTTTGAACACATTAAAATGTGCCTTAGTAAACATGCTACTAAAAACATGAGACAAAGTGTAAAGATCAATTTCCATCACAAAAGGTGAGGTGGAAACAGATATACAAGGATAAAATAGATGCCAAAATGTGTACTGCAATTTGCAAGCTGGATTTTTTCCTCATTTCTTCCAAACTGTTAAGTAATTTATTTATTTATTTTTAATCCAAAGGAAAAGAAGCAAAGGTCTTTGTTCGGTGCCCAGAGGATGTTAAACACGTACAACAATCATGAATTCCAACTAGTACGAACGTTGTCACGTTACATTCTCTCCTAAGACCAGAGTCTCAGAATCATGTGGCAATTTTACAAGCTGAACGATCCTGGAAAAATGTTCAGAACTTAACGTGTTCATAAAGATTTAAAGGTGATTACTACAATGATCCAGTCTTTCTGCACTGAATTTATCTTTGCATAATATTTTATGCAAAGTCCCACAAGAGATGGATTTTTGGGTTTGTGTTTTTTTTTTTATAGTTTTGTTTTTAAACACTCTGCTAATCAGCTTAATGGATTTTGGAAACTGACAATTAGAAAATAACAACAAGATATTGCTAAAACCTGGAACTGAAAGTACAAACCTCTTACTGTTGTTTATGCAGACTATTTTTAGGCCTATGATTTCCTTGAAAAACATCAGCCACATAGGAGCAGCAGTACTGTACTTGAGATGAATTCCAATAGCAACGTTCATGCCAGGTAAAACAAGTTCGAATGGAATAAACATTTCTTCTTCCCCCCAAAACAAGTTCCAACATTCAGTAACATCTGATACTCGTAATAATACTAGTTGAAGAAGGACGTCTTCCACCGTGTGAAAGTTACCAGAAAACCCACCCTGCTTCCAGTGGCATTTTAGGAAAAGTGGAGCAATGGAATACGTTAAATGTAAGATTTCCTCCTGTGCATGTGCTTTTGCATCAAAGTCTGCTCCAGCAACTTTAGAAAGGGCTAAAGACATTAAAAATCTGTTTGACTTTTTGCTCAGACATAAAGAAAGGGGATCATTCCTTCAGCTCATCAACAGAAAAATAAATGCGTCTGTAAGGAGAAGAGCGTAGCAGAAATTTGATCTACTCTGATACATCTAAAATAAGGAACAACAGTGGGAGCAGGAGGGTTCAGAAAAGATCAATACACTATGTTCAGAGACTTCTAAGTCAATGTTAGTCAAGACCAAATAATTTTTCCAGTAAATTAAACTAATCAAGTCATATGAGAACAAAGCCTAATTCAAAATAAAAACAAATTCACCATCATTAATTTCTATTTTTAATTCTTGTTATGCTCTACCCAAAACACAAGTGAGGCCACTTCAGTACTACTTTGTGTGCTGAATTCACGGCTGTTATAGATTGTTCTAAGTCTACTGGAGATACGCCCATCTACTATGTCAGCAATGAATTTCACAGGGAGAAAGAAAAGTGCCCTTGGTGAAATAATTCAAATAAAACTGTCAAACCACGAAACCAAATTTTATACTGCGAGTAAGTCTTGTACCAAGTTACAAAGTCAGGTTTTTTTCGTCTGTAAAACTTTCCCAGAGATTATATGGGAAAGCTATTTTCCAGAAAGCAAATCATTCATTGAGCATTGCTGCCAATTCTCACGTAGGGCCAGATTCTGGACATGACTAAATAACAGGATCACTTATTGCTCTGTAAAATATTGTCACTTAGTCTAAGGCACTTTTGCCTGTGTTATAAAATGTGTACTGCTATGACACATGTTTAAAAAATAAAATAAAATAAGGCTTTAGGCAATTTGCAGTCAGCAACACTGGAGAAGCAGCACCTCTAGGACAGCAGCAGAAGTGTCCCTGGGATATTAAAATGAAAGATACTAATAAAATTTTAAAACAATCTGAAATTAAAACTGTGCTTTATTTTCCAGTCCCTTTCTTCAGCTCGGGAAAGAAAAACACACATGAAATGTTTTAAACACATCTTTATGAAGAATCAAGTGTCTCTAATTTTAAGGAGTGCACTTAGGAGGCAGACTTCATACAGAGAGATAGACAGAAGATTTCCTTTCCTCCTGCAGGACAAAATAATTAAGTCATACACGTATCTCCCATTCTTTCAAAATTTTTAATAAGCCTATTATGTCATAACCATGTCTCAATTTTCAGATCAAGATACATGCCAGTTACTGATTTATTCTGGAGTTCTTTCATACAGAGACAGTTGTTTTATACCTACGTGGGGGGAATTTCCTGAATGAACAGTGTTTCTGCCAGACTAAGAACTGCAGCCTGCACTCATTTTCCCCACGGAAAAGGTGTACAGCATACTAAATCCTCTACCTCAAGAAATAACACGACTTCACCGTTTGGGAAGAACAGGGAGTGGGAAATCAGACTGCTTTGCCTTCAGCATTTCCTGACAGTCTTTTCAATAAACAGTAACTTGAAATTTTACTCTTTGTGATCTGACAATATGGTTGACAGGCAAGAAATTTTTTTTTGAAGCTTTTGTTTTCAGTCTAGAGTAACACTGGAAAGATCTCTTCAAACTGACAACAAACTTGTATTTGAAGAGCTTTATTTCCATCAGATACATTTTTTTTGTCAAGTCATAACCTGAATTTGTATACAAAACGTCTCTTAAAAGATGTATTAAAATTTCATCTTTAGTGTCAGTAAGATGCTGCAAATGAAGAATTCAAAATTTCAATCCCAACTAAATACATTTGTTTATAACCTGCAACCCTCAACAGTAGTACTGGAACTCTGTATTTGTGAAGTTTCTTGCCTCTGAAAGCCTCAAGGTATTTTACAGACAGTAAATCATACTCACAACTCCTGCCTGCCTTCATTCATGCTGCATTTCCTGCCTCTACCATCGCATCCTGAAATGCACACCTTACATTAACCTTATTTTAAAGGTAGGGAAAAATTAAGGCACACAGGGAGTAAGTTAATTCCCCAGAGTCCCTTGAGTCACTGGAAATGGAATTTTCATTTCCTCTGAGTCATGTATTTTTATCAAGATATTACTAAGAATTAATCAGAATATTACTAAGAATTAACAAGATTTTACTAAGAATTAAAGTTGTATTTACCCTGATCACCTTTAAAACAGACTTTACAATTCACGTTTCTAAGTCCGAAAAGAAATTAATATTTGTTTGCTGATTTTCCTAAAGACCAAACTGTGCAAATGCCCAGCAGATTTTTATTTCTTTATCTATACCCTATCAGGACTACAAAACCAACTCAAAAGTTTCCTAAAGTAGTTGTAAGCCGAAATTTAACTCAACATTAATAGTGTTTATAAAAAAGAGAGTATTTTTTATTTCTCAGAACAGATCATGCTTTACTTCTACTTTATTCCCTTTTTAGTCCTTGCCATAATCCTTTATGTTATTCGGCAACATCTTTCTAAAAGCTAAACAGTGAACTAGAGAAATTCTTTCTTTAGCTATTTTGTCTATGCTGAAGCCAGAGTCGCAGGACAAGTACAAAGATAAAATACTCTTTTTAAGAGTATTTGAGCTGAAAAATACATGATTCTATATACTGTAACTTCAACACAATTTAAAAACGTGTTGATAACGAAGATTTTTCCAAACTCTGAAAAGCCAGGTGTAGTCCAGTGTCAAAACCCATGGCTCCTCAGGCAGGCCAATACGCTGAC